CTCTTAACAGTTGTATGATCTGGAACAAATCTCTTAAGCTCGCTGAGCCTTGGTTTCTTTATCTATAGAATGGGTATAGCAGCCTCTCCCTTAAAGAGCAGGTGAAAGATTGCATGAGACAAAAACAGTGGGTGGAGAGGAGGCTGTCGGTGCAGATCAAGGACCTTGCCCGCTGTCTGTGACATCTCTAGAGAGCTGGGCCGAGGAGTGAAGACAGACTCACCAGGCATCATCTGACACACAGTTGGTATCTTCTCTGACCCTAGTTCCATATTGTTTTCTACAGAAAATGAAGAATTATGACACATAAGAGCTACATCTTGGAACGAACTCAAAGTCAGGTTTGGGAAATAGAACACATATTAGAGAAGTGACAGGACGACCTAAGATTTGACTCAGTCCTTCAAGACCAGTGCATGGCATTACTCTAAGCCATGGGTTCCCAGGAGGGAAAGGTCACTTCGTGATCCATGAGCCTACCAAGAGGTTGGAAATGAGCCAGTGTTGAATGATGAACAGGGTGTAAAAAGGAAGGAAAAGGTGTGGGGTGAGGTGGGGGCCAGAGGGAGACGGGCATTTCAAGCAGGAATTACGCTAAGGTAGCAGGCGGACTGTGGGATTGGAGATCTGGAAAGAAGTGACTAGGGATGAAGGCTGGTGAGTCATCAGCAGAAAGGTGAAAGGTGAGAACACAGGGCTCCATGAACGGTCCCAAGGGGGCAGATGGTGCCTCCTGCATCTTGGAGACCAGCTCTGGTGGGCACTAAGCCCCTGAGAGCAGAGACTATGCGTTTCTTCTTCCCCACTGTTTCCAGAGCCCGAAAGAAGGCCAGACACAAACCCTCAATAAATATTTATTGGATAGATGAAAGGGAGAAAAATCAGCACTGTGTGAGTGACTCGGATGCTAACGAAGAAGAGAGACTCAAAGGAACATGGTCAAGTTTTGCAAAGAGATGAAGGATGGAGAACTTGGGGGTTCCAGGGGAAATGGGAGGGGAAATGGGAAGAGAAATGGAGCTGCAGGACGGGAACTTAAAGAGGGCTACTGGTGAGCAGAAGAAGCAAACAGCGGTATCCGGAGCGGGAGATGAGGAAACGATGGGCTGACAGGATGGGGAGAGCTCTGTGAGCAGGCCCATGGGGAGCAGGAGAGATCAGGATGGAGAGATGGGGAGGGCTGACTCTTGGAAGGGAGGCACCATTTTCTCTGAGATAGAGACAAGCTGTGAATCAAGGCAGACGACCTGAGCTGGAGTCAGAGGGAGAGAAGGAGGAGACAGATTAGCTCCTCCAGATGACCTCGGCTCTCTCCACCGAGGGGCAAAGTTGTCTTCTGAGAATAGAGCCCTCCAACTGTCCTAAGGGAAAGAGCCACAGTGGGACTCCTGAGACAGCAGCTGGCAGTCCAGCCCAGAACACGCACGACTACTGCAGCAGAGCTGTCACAAGGGTGACGAAGGTAACAGGGGCCCAACATCGCTACAAATACCTCACCACTTCTCCCAGTGAGCCATCTAGACTGGCCCTTTGGTGTGTCATTCTGTAGGATCCAGCCACAAGGAGGGCTGCATCCATTTCCTGATGCTTTTGAGAACAGGGGGCTTTAAATAAAGAAGGAAGTGGCCTTTATTAGGCTTCGGATTCCACAGACATTACTGGGTAGGAGCATCTTTATTTGGCACTTTCAGAATCCCTGGAAAGGCTGCATAAATTCAGAACAAAGACAATGCCAATTGCAGAGCACTCGTTGGGAGTGTAGGAAGGAGGACATGAGCATCTGATAAGGAACTATACCAGGTGATCTGTAAATACCCTTGCAGCCCTGACATGCTATGAAAAACGCTGTGGACCAGATTGAAGACAGATAGAAAGCGAGAAGCGAGGAGAGGAGCAGCATCTTAATTGCTCCAGTCAGAAAAGTCCGCCATTTATGAGACACACATGCGTGAAGAAAGAAAAGCTCTTTTGTGCTAAATCCATCACTAGCGGGACTTGGGGAAACGATGGGTGAAGTCAGGTAGCACTAGGGCCCTGCAATTTCTTCCCACATCACACGTTTTTAAATGGGACAAGGAAGGGAATCAGACAGGAGCACCCCTGGGGGACCCACATTTCTGCTCCCTTAATCCTTGTTCTTGCCACCCCCCAAAGGAGTGACCCCGGCCATGTCTGCAGCGTCATAAATGCTCTCTGCTTATTTATCTGCCAAGGCGCATGTGGTTTTAATTATTTATGATGGTGTCTCTTCGCACACAGGGATGTGTCTTGGAGTCACTTCCCTCGACTGATGGAGCCTTTGTAATCAGAGACCTGCGGCCTCAGCCTGTAAATCTCGGCGAGGAGCTCCCTTTCACTGTCCGTGTGAGTCAGCCATGGATTCGCAGAGGGAAGATTAGCCAAATCCAGTTACAAGACTCCTGCACATGGCTTGTCATTGCCACACACGTTCTCTGAAAACAATTAAGAGCCATCCTCTGTCCACTGATAGGACAAAACAGACCGCTCCCCTGAAAAGGACACTTTCCCTAATGTCAGAGGGTTCTGACCATCTGCAATCATCTCATGATTTTCTTCCCATAAGGTTTGGCTTGTTCCCTATTCCTTCAAGTCTTGGTCAATAAACCTGCTTCCCCTCCATCTCCACTGACCCCTTCTTGTTCACACAGAACTACTGTCTGGATCCTTGGAAATGCCCCTATGTGGTTTTCCTAGATTCACCCCACGTGGCAATTGTGCTAACAGCCTGGTGTCAGGAGCTCACCAGCACAGGTACGACCCGGAGATCACACTGTACCAGGAGCTGAGTATCCTCACTGTTTGTGGATTCCATATTTACGAATTCGCCTACTCAATAAAATTTATGTGGGACCCACTACCAAGACTCAAGGCTCTCTCCTGGTCATTCACCAACATATGAGGAGCAGTGAACAATTTGTCACCCGACATACACCTTCCCAGCTGAGGTTGAACAAGGCCATGCTCTGCCTTTGGGTTTCAGCTCTCGCACTGCAAACAAGTGTCTTTTTTATGGTCTATTTGATGCCCCACTTTTTCTTGCATGTTTGTGCTTTTTGTTGGTGATTTCACTGTGTGAAGTGGCCCCGAAGCATAGGGCAAAAGGGCTGTCTAGTGGTCCTAAGAACAAGAAGGCTGCGGTGGCCTCCTGGAGAAAGCAGGTATGTTAGATCAGACACGTGTTAAATAAGCTTTGTTCAGGCGTAGGTCATAGTGCTGTTGGCCCTGAGGGCAACGCTAACAAACCAGCAATACACATCAAATAAAGTGTTTTCAAACAGAAACACAAGTAAAACAAGGTTATGGATTATCACTTGATAAAACTGTTGTGACCAGACCCACATAGGAACCTAACCCTCTCTTTCCCTTAGGAACAGTGGTTTAGTGTTTGCTCACTCAGTGCTCACAGTGCCTTTACAGAGCACAACTACCGTGAACAATGACAACCAACTGTATATTCAACACAGCAATGCCCAAGCCTGTGTTCCAATCCAATGTCACTCTAGAGAACGCAGCAGGGTCAACCCTAGACCGAGCTTGGACCCATGCTACCACCACAGAAGGCCCTTCCTCCCAGCCACACCCAGCTCTGTCCAGATAAACCTGATCTGAGGCAGAACCACTCTTTGCACTATGTTCTCCACTCTTTATCTGAAACTCAGATATCTTTCTTCCCTTGCCCAGCCATGGTCCAGAACCCAGGTATCCTTCCTCTAACTGATACTGACAGGGAGTGTGTCTGATAAACACTGAGACAGATTCTGGAGGACACCCAAGGTTGGGAGGCAAATGATGACCTTACTCTGACTCAAGCCCAGTCCTTCCCACCATGGCAATCCTCTCGCTAAAAGTCAGACCCAGAAAAACAGAAGCAGAGGTCGATGGGGTAGCCAATGCCCAGTCTGCTATAAGATGAACCAGTGGGAGCAGCAAGAGTTCTGTGAGCTACAAAGAGGTGGCCTGAGTACAGAGACCTCAGGCAGGGGGAGAGCAGGATCAGAGGCATTGCTCTGAGTCTGACCTCGGGACCAGCTGAGGGAAGAAGAGAATGGATGGCAGAAGCCCAGAGACAGGCAAGGGAACTCAGCGTCCTAGTACCTCAGTGTTCCTGTCTGTAAGACGAGGCCGTCACCGAGGCCATCCCTGAGTCCCTTTCAGCTCTAAGGCAGTCTCAGGGGCCTCTTTTCTCTCCAGAAGTAGGTGACTGTTTCCTGGGGAGGAGCAGTGGGAGGGAAAGGGATGTGCATTGGGGCTGCTGGGGCCTGGAATGAACCTGGGGACACAGCAAGGGGACAGCTGCTGGACAGAGGGCCAAGCTGCAGAGGCTCCGGGAGCTGGGAGAGGCCATAGCAGAGCTCAGCAGAAATACAAAGAGGAGGCCTGAACCCACAGGATGTGAGAGACAAGGAGGAAAGAGGTGCCCTGAGCCCTCTGATCAGAATGAGGCATCTGCAGTGGGGAGGCGGGGTCCTAGCGCTGGGCCATGATTGATTCTCAGAAAGAGCACACTTCGGGGCACTGGAGGGGCAGCTGGAGAGATGTTTCCATTCAAACGGTACTCACCGCCCTTCATTCCCTTCCCCCCTCGTGGAGGCTTGGGTGGAGGGTCTGAAGACCTCAGGGGCTGTTGTCTGAACAGAGTCAGGTTACATTTCCTGAATACACAGGCCAGGTCTACAGAGAAGACCAGCCTTGTCTGTGCCCCCATCTTACTGGGAGCACCTCGCCACGTGGGGCTGGGCCTTCTGCCTCCAGGCTGCTCCCCACCCCGAGCCCCCTCTGCCCAGGACACTCTGCCCCAGTGGAGTCCCCTTGCCCAGGCTATTCTTCAAGTTTTGAGACAAACAGGGAAGGTCTCTTAGAGAGTGGGAGGTTAGCAGGTGGTAAGTCACCTCAGAAGGTTCCAGAACCCCAGCTATGTGGTATGTCGCCACGCCACCCTCCCCTCCCCAGAAGGGACAACGTTCTACTCTGGTACTCACACGTGTCTGGCTTGTGGCAGTTGTGTCCCTGACGGAAGTACTGGGGGTTCTCAATGACCGGGATGCGGGTCATACCGATGACCACTGTGTCCGGCCCGGCATCCAGTGACGAGGGTGTGGTGATGCCATGGTTGATGTGGTGCAGTGGGCTGGCTGAGTCCTCCTCACCACTGATGACAGCCACGGGACCTGCACACACCAGGAGAGACACAGGACCCCAGTGAAGTCACAGCCAGCCAGCGCCCAGCCCTGCCCACAGACCCATTCACTGTTTTGGCCACCACATTTTCCATTAAGAGTAGAATCCCCAGGAAGAGAATTCCCTGAATGCTCTGGATCCTGAATTCAAAGAACCACCCTTAATTCTCTTTCTTGAGAGAGAAAAATCCACCCATAACGCCATGGAAACAGCTGCAAAATGAAAGCATGAATCAAAATGACTATGACGTGAATTATTTTCACTTCCCCCAAATCCAAATTAGTTCAAAATAATGCAAATTTTAAACGTGTCTTTGCTTATGTAGCAACAACGGGATGAAAAAAATGACTTAGCAGTAGTCTGCACCCTGTCCCTCCTCCCTTCAGGAGCTTTAAAAAACTACTGATGCCAGGTCCCACCCCCAAAGATTTGGATCCACTCGGGCTGAGGATGCAAGGTGGGCATCAGGATTTAAAGAACTCACATGTGAGTCCCATGTACAGCCAGGACCTAGAACCTCTAGTTAGGGCCTTGCAGGCTCCAGAGCCTTTTCAGAGTGGCTATCAGATTCCCATAGGAATGTGATAGAGTGCTCACTGGACTCTGTTAGCAAGAGGGAAGACGGAGGGAAGCCCAGCGTGGGCCTGGACCTAACCTGAGCCAGGTTTTACAAGTGACAGTCATTAGGCTGCATCACTATTAGCCTACACACAGCTGGACGAGCTGTCCTGCTCTTGAAAGATCCATATTGCCCCAATGGCTTCAAAGAATACCATTTGCATCTTCCCCAACCCAACTGCACCATTTTCTAAGCCAAAGAAGTAACCCTGTAAATAGGGTTATTTACAAACACCAGTTGACAGCGATAATTATTGCTGCAGTCTTGGTAGAGCAATGGTTCTGTTTGGTGGTGCGATTCCCCCATACGTACAAATAAAACTCCTGTAAAGTGAATTCACTGTGACTGTTTGTGGCTTCATACAACTGGCATTTTAAATGGCTGCTTTGCAAGACACCCGGTCCCAAGACAAAGTGCCCGCTGTGATTTGGTTTTGCGGCTTGAACAATATTTCCACTGCAGAAATCCATTACATCTTACTGAAGTTTATGGGGAGAATATTTCCCATCAAACAGCAAGGTGAATCGCCAATGAGGCAGAACTAAATGGAAGACTAGTAAATGCAAACTGAGGACGCTGAATTCTACTCCATCAGCACCGACAGGCTTCTTCCAACCTATGACAATCGTCTGTGTTCGGAGACCACGTAGAAAAATAGCAATAAGGGGTTGCCCAAATACTCACAATAATCACTTGCAAGTTCTTGAAAACAACTGTAAACTTTTTGAAAAACCCCATAGTGATTTTCCGTTAAACACAGAAAGCTGAGCACTGGTCTTTACCCTCCTTCTCTCCCCAAACGCCACTAAAATACAAAGAAATTAAAGAAATATTTATGCATAAAGAGAAGTAAGGGGAAACAAGAGGAAATAAGATATTTCAACAGTTTTGGAAGATGAAAAAGCAAAGGAGGATGCTCGTCTATAGAGAGAGGAAGCTACGGAAGAAAGAAGCGCTCGGGCTGCACGTGGAATATTTACAGGAAGTCAGTTCTGCTGGGGATGCCCAGTACTTGAATGGACAGGGTACTTCGGAAGGCTGGGGTGAGGCTCAGGTCCAGAACAAGGTACCCAGGCCATCACCTTGCCCCCATCCCTCCAGACTCTAGTGGTTCATTCGCAGAGAAATTGAACCCAAAAGGCTCAGGGGAGGACCAAGGCGAAGCATGAAGCTGAGCCCGTTCTTCCTGCTCCTAGAACACAGAAACCAGGAATAACCTTGTCTACCCACCCACCCCATTCCCAGTCTCGCCTCACACCACCTCCCTGCAGGAGATCAGACAGAGCTTCTCTGGAGAAACTGAACGACTCAGAGAAGCCTTCTAGATATTGACCTTGTGGGTCTCCCAGAGAAGTCAAGATTCTTGTGTGATCACGCCATGGCGAAGCCTAATAGTTGGCAAGCCCTCCCTGTATACATGAACCGCTTTCTAGAACTCAATTCCTACATATGAAGAAGCAGTCCAGGATCACCAGACACTTCAGCAAAGCTTCAGCATGAAAGATAGGGTGCAAGACACACAGACAATCAGGGACTTGATGGACACAGAGGCAACGCAGAGAGCAGCCGACTGTTTTTTGAATCACTAATATCCTCAGAGAGATAAATGAAGACATTGCGTCCATAAAACAAGATGATACTTAAAATGTGAACAATTAGAAGGTAAGAAAGAGTCCTTGGGAACTATGATCATCAAAATGTGAAAGTCAAAGAAGAGTGGAAGATCAAGTCAAGGAAATTTTCAGAAAGGCAAACAAAAAGGAAAGAGGTGGTAAATAGGAAAGTAAAGGTAAGAAAATTAAAGACTTGATCCAGAGAGCCAATATCTGATTAAAAGATGGAGGGTCGGGAGAGAGAGAGAGAAAAGGAGGGAGAACAGAAAGGATGGGAGAATTAAAAAAATTATGAGAAAATTTCCCCAAATTGTCCACCTAGTTTCCAGCACGTTAACCCATGCACGTGTGCATACACACACACACGCAAATCAAGGCACAAAATTATGAAAGGCCAGAGCCCAGAGAATAAAGAGAAGATGCTAAGAGCTTCCAGGAGGGAGGGATAGGTCACATTTCAAAAAGAAGAGGAATCAGAAAGACAGCAGAATTCTCCATAACAACCTATTCCTGTTACTCTACTGAGAAATTCCTTCCAAATTTTGACGGATAAATTTTCAGCCTAGAATTCTACACTCAAAAATTTATTCATCCACTGTAAGGCAAAAGAGAGGTGTTTGCAGACGTGTAAAATTTTACCTCATTCTTTCTTAGGAGGTGGCAGGAGGTGAGGCTTCAGTAAGACAAAGGGGCTGATGAGGAAAGAGGGAGTGGGAGATTCGGTTCCAAAAAGACCAAACAACAGAGGGCCCCCCACACCTCACCCCCTTCTGTTCTCAGCATTATGGGATGTGGGTTGTCATAGCCACATGGAGGAAGGACAGGAATCAGGAGCAGTTTGGAGAAGACACAACATTGGGACATTTGAATCTGCTCTCGTCAAGTCAATGGACAACGAGTGGTCAACAAAATGTTCCAAGAGGCTGTGATCTAAAACGATCTCTAATTTCCTGACGTTGTTCTAGGATTTGGAGGGCCGGGGAAAGAGCCATGGGGAAAAGAGATGTCCTGCTATAGGCTCCCAAGCCATTAGGAAGGGACAGGGTGGCCCAGGAAGACATCCCAGAAGTAAAAGAATAAAGCAGACTTCAGAGCCCTGGAGGACCCAATACTTAAAATGTGGGCAGAGGAAGGGGAGCAGGAAAAGGAGAATGAGAAGAAACAGCCAGGAAAGTAGAAGAAAATCAGAAAAGGCTGTCATCTTAGAAGTCAAAGAAGGAGATTTTCTAGAAGTTCAAGAGTATCATAGACTGAGGCCAAGAAGGATGAAAAATAAGTTTAATGAGAGCAGTTTCTATAGAATGGCAGAGGAAAAGATCTAATCATACTGAGTTCAGGAATTAGCTGGAGAAACCACCATCATCATCATAATTTTTATTATTGAGTGCCTCCTATGTACCAGGCTCGGTAAATGTAACTTCTTGAACTTTATAATGCCCTTTATAATGCCCCTGTGAGGTCAGCATCACTACTTTCCCCATTTTACAGTTGGGGCACTGAAGCAAAGAGCAGTACCTGCCCAAGGACCACACCCAGCAAGGAAGTGATGACACTGGAACTCAAACCGACAGTGTGGCCCCGGAGCCCGTGCTCACAACCGTTAGGCAGCACTGCCTCCATGAAAGTGCAGACTGGCAGGGACTGGAGGTGGGGGGAGTACTTGTTCTAAGGGACACTTGATCAATTCTGGTACATTATCCTCCTTCTGAGCAGCCGCCTTCCATGCCAGGTCCCTGAGACCCTTTTTTAAAGATGTTCCTCTTGATCCTTGAGAATGGGAACAAGAGTGAGTCACCTCATTAGACTCACCCAGATAGACTACGGATAATTCATTGTCTCCTCTTCCCAGAGCTGCTGAATGCTCTCATTTAACGACATCCACCTCAGAAAGAGCATTGCACCGTCAGACCGCTGTCCAGTCCCTGAGGCCCTCTTAGTCACCTCCGCTCTTCCATAAACCACACTCCTTGAAATAAAAGCCAAGACAGAGCACACAGCCCCGTCACTTCAAAGGAGGCCAGAGAAGACTCCTGCAGCTTGCTCCCTCCTGCCTGTGCAGGAGCCCAACAGTGCTCCCCAACAGGGCTCAGCTGGCGCTGAGCAAACCAAGGCCTCCTTGGACAGGGCCGTTCCACCTATGGTGAGCTATTTAGCATCCTTGGACGTGAGCATTAAAAGCCAGTCTCAGCTTCATCAGTTGTAACAAAGGTACCACTCTGTGGGGGATGTTGATGATGGGGGAGACTGCATGTGTGGGGGAGGCGGTGTATGGTAACACTGTACCTTCCTCTCAATTTTGCTGTGAACCTAAAACTTCTCAAAAAAAAAATAAAGTTCAGTAAAAAATTTTAAAATAAATATTTTTAAAAAGCCAGGCTCCCCACCCAATACACAACACATTTCCCAACACCCCTTAGGGCGACAGAACTTCCCCAGGTTGAAAACAGCTGATACAGATACCAGCATTCACTCTAGGAACCAATTTCCCTTTCCAGCTCTGGCCAGCTCTCATGTCACTTGCCTCAGGGGAAAACCCACAGACCTGTGGCCCCTCTGATGAGGAAGAATTCTTCTCACCTTAATAACCACAGAGAAGAATTTATTAAGATGAGAGAAAGGGATGAGTAATGGGGGAAAATCTCATTTGTCTGGGGAGCTCCTCTGTTTTGTGAGGCCCAGCGCAGGTCAGGAGAAGGCTCAAGCTTGCTGTCTTCTGAGCTCTCAACACACGCACACACAGACTGTCTAGCACTCATGA